TACACCGACCATTTGTTTGCCAGAAGTCATCGGAGAAATTCGAAAAAAGCAGAAGAACAGGCGAATCATTCTTCATCATGCAATGCGAGCTCTCACACATCGACTCAAACAAAGGCATTTCTGGCGGAGCGAAAGATCGAACTGATGGGTCATCCACCGTACAGCCCTGATTTGGCACCCAATGACTTCTTCTTATACCCACACATCAAAAATAAATTACGTGGACAACGATTTTCGACCCCCGAAGAAGCGGTTGATGCATTCAAAACGCATGTTTTGGAGTTACCTCAATCGGACTGGAAAAAGTGCTCTGAAAATTGGTTCAAATGCATGCAAAAGTGAATTGATCATCATGGAGAATATTTTGAAAAACAATAAAACCAATTTCGATCCTACATATTTGTTTTTTTTCATTATTAGGCCAGAAATATAAATAGCAACCCTCGTACATCATCATCACACCCAAACGCAACCGTCTACTCTAAATAATGTTATGTCCCGCAGTGGACTGATCGTTAAGACACGGTTCCCAGCAGATCACCGAAGTCAAGCATCACTGGCTGCGGTCAGAGTGCGGGTGGGTGACCCACTTGGATCAGTCTGCGTAGGGACCGAGGGTGTGCGGTATTGGCCCTCGTTAAACTGTGCTACCGTAAAGTGCTCGACTTCGCGTGCAGGTCGTTGGGCTACCGAAGCGGGGGTGCCATCCCCTCTGCAGAGGATCAAAATTGTGATGGCATGTCTTTGGATCATCCTCAGGGATGTTTCCCAGACCGTCGCCAATAGCCCATTGTGCAGCTCCAGTGCGACGTAAATGAACTACAACAACAACTAAATAATGTTATATAGAATGAGATAGTAGAACAAACGTGTGTAGTTATTTAAATTCTTATTCAAAAGTATTAGTTAATTTTTTTTTGTTGAACTGACAATTTCTGTCCTTTTTTAGATATTTTAAAGTGCTGTTTAAAACTGCTGCATATCACATGAAAGCATTAAATATATCATTTGTACAATTTTAAAGTAAAATAAAAGGGAATTCTGATGCTCAGAAACATATATTAAATAGTCTGATCATCGAATCATGGGGCAAAAATTTTTTTTTTACCTTTTAAACTAAAAAATTGTTTAGTTATAAATATCTGGGGGCCCATGTCATCTCGGGGCCTTAAGCTACAGCTTATTTAGCTTATACGTAAATCCGGCTTCGGTCTCACCCCCCTTCCACAGTGATTTCACCCAGTCGGCAAATTCGAGTTGGCTTTTTTTTTTAGTATTAGTTGTCCAAGGCGAACAGATTACAATTGTTAGATTACGTTGTGAGAAGAAGATAAAAACAGCTTAAGGTGTATTTATATTCATAGGTCCAATCATATTCTCAAACCAGCCTAGATCTCGAGGCCTTGTCTCTGTGCTGTAAGCTTGATATAAATGGATTTAAACAATGTCAGTATTTCACCAATGTTGCGATTTCATCACGGACCCGACTCGGCAAATCTTGCTGCAAAATATGAGTTTTCTTCTCCCACCCCCTCCAAGAGTAACCATTTATGATAATTCGAAGCTTGATGACCGATAATACAAGCTGAAATATCGAAAAACATTTCTTTTTTATTATTTATTCCACGACACATTCTTAAATTTAAAAAAAATTTCGTGACCTTAATTTTTAGTTAGCTATAGAAATGTAAAAACTATATTTCCTTTTCATTATTTTGAATAATTATAGGTACCATTTAATTATCAATAATACCACATTTATCTCCTATGGCAGTTGCATTTCTAAGTGCTGTAAAAATTATTTCGATGAATAACATTTTATTTATAACTAGTCGAAATGATTTCAAAATTAATTTTAGAAGGTCAAGTTATGTGGCGCATTTGAACTCTTTTATTGATATTGTTTTACCTCCGATTATCAAGCTCTAGTCAAATACAAATTGTATGAGTGCATATATATATGACGGTCGGTAAAATAAACTTCAACACCCCCCTCTCGAATCGGTCATCGACGGGACTGAATAATTCACGTTAAGCGATTTCACGTTAATGAGGTTTGACTGTATTGAGGAACAAGGCAGGAAAAATAATTGCATATTTCATTATTTAGTTTAATAACTTAGGTATATACAGTTTGTGAAATCTTAAAAAAAAAAAAAGTAAATAACAATTTACTAATTTTGATTTTTCAGTTTTGTGAGTGATGTTCTGTGTCCGTTTTAAAAAATGTGGTTAAACTTAAGTCCCAAAAACATTCAAATGTGTTTAAAAAAATTTATGATGAGCAATATTTTACATCATCAGGGAAATATTTTTGTTTACATAAATATGAGATTTATAAAATAGTGAAAGTGTGGAAAATGTTTAGATTGAAGAACAAGAAATTGATTTTATGAAGCAATCTATTCTACTTTAAATATTTCATAAATCAAATTTACATAAATACAATATAAACTTTCTTCTTTCTAATAAAATATTTTGTATTTGAAATAAATAAATTTTTTTTAACTGTATAACATGTGCTAGGGATGAAGAAAAAAATATTACCTTTAATTCTGGATTCTAATGCCAAGAAAATAAATAACAATTTATATTTTGATCAAGCATAACTGGTTGCAAATAAAGTAATATAACCCAGCAATCAAGGTTACAGCATCAACTAAGATATCTTTGAAAGGCCGTATATTTCAATCCACAACTTTTCAGTAGATTTATTTTATAGGCATTATTTAAGAATAAATTAAAAAATATATATATATGATGAAAACTGCAACATAAAAGTTTAAAACTGTTTGAAAAGAAAATAATTATTTAATTTCGTTAGACTGTGTTTAATCAAAAGACACTTCTGTGAAAAACTTTTACTTTTAATGCTAGAAGGAGGTTTAACCCCAGTGGAGTTTTTCCTCTGTTATTTTAAAGTGAAAACTTACTACAAGAATGCATAACTTACACAATGCATAGCAATTATCTGCAATCTCTTTTGACATATACGATAAGAATAAGATATCTCATCAGATCAATACAAATATGGTCAGTTAAATTAGCTCTTGTTTAAAAAAAATTATTACACATACTATTTACAAGAATATGATTTTAAAAACAATATGAACATAAATGCAAACATTTAGATTACTATTGCTACAAAAAAAAAACTATTTTATCACATACTTCAAAAATACAGTGCATCACTTGTAAGAATTATACTGTACTTAGACAGAAGATATTTCTGAGAAAATCTCTTATTCCATTTGGCTACAAAAAGGTTTCTCACAAGTGAGAACACAAACAGCTAAGTCAATTTTTGAAAAATAAAAAACTCTTTTTAAATATATTAAAAGTATGAGGTTTTTCACCAGTATGAATAATACTATGATTAATTAGATAGACCTTAAATGGAGAAAACAATTTACATAAACAAGAATATGAGTTCTAAATTCCATGGGCTAAATTGTTCTTATTTAGATCATCCTTCCTTGAAAAAACCTTATTAGAAAAATTGCATGAAAAAGGTTTCTCACTGGAAAAGGTTTTCTTCATGAACACAACTGTGCTCATTCAGAACATCCTTGCTTGAAAAACTTTTTTGACATGTACTACAATTGTAAGTTTTCTCACCAATATGAATGAGATAATGTCTAATTAAATTAAGTTTTACTGGAAAACCTTTCTTACATACGCTACACGAATAACGTTTCTCATCAGTATGAATGCGACTATGCTTTGTTAGATCACCATTACTTGAAAAACTCTTATTACATATACTACAAGAAAAAGTTTTTTCACCTGTATGAACACGACTGTGTTTATACAGAACATTCTGTCTTGAAAAACTCTTTTGACATATACTACAAGTATAAGGTTTCTCACCAGTATGAATGACATAGTGTCTAATTAAATCACGCATTACTGGAAAATCTTTCTTACATATGCTACATGAATAACGTTTCTCATCAGTATGAATGTGACTATGTTTAGTTAGATCACTATTCCTTAAAAAACTCTTTTTACATACACTACAAGAAAAAGGTTTCTCACCAGTATGCACACGCCTGTGTTTATACAGAGCATTTTGTCTTGAAAAACTCTTTTGACATATACTACAACTATAAGGTTTCTCACCAGTATGAATCCGACTGTGTATAATCAAATGATGCATAAGCGGAAAACTCTTGTTACATATACTACAAGAATAAGGCTTCTCACCAGCATGAACACGACGGTGTTGAGACAAATTATTTCTATTTGTGAAACTCTCATGACATATACTACATTTAAAATTTTTCTCACCAGTATGAACACGACTATGTCTAGTCAGAGTACCTTTTAGTGAGAAACTCTTATTACATGTACAACAAGAATAAGGTTTCTCACCAGTATGAAGAAGATAATGTTTAGTCAAATTACCTCTAAATGCAAAGCTCTTATTACATACACTACAAGAATAGGGTTTCTCACCAGTATGAGTCCGACTGTGTGCAATCAAATTACTATTGTGGGAGAAACTCTTATTACATATATTACATGAATAAGAATTCTCACCATTATTAGCACGACTGTGTTCGGTCAGATCACTTTTTTGTGAAAAACTCTTATTACTCATACTACAAGAATGAGACTTCTCACCAATATGATCACGAATGTGTTTTGTCAGATTACTTTTTCGAGAAAAACTTTTATTACATATACTACAAGAATAAGGCTTCTCACCAGTATGCACACCAATGTGTTTTTTCAGATAAATTTTAAATGAAAAACTCTTGTTACATATATTACAAGAATAAGGCTTCTCACTAGTATGAACACGACTGTGTTTGGTCAAATTTGCTTTTAATGAAAAATTTTGATTACATATGCTACAAGAATAAGGCTTCTCACCAGTATGAACGAGACAGTGGCGTGACAGATGACTTTTTTGTGAAAAACTCTTATTACATATACTACAAGAATAAGGCTTCTCACTTGTATGAATATGAATGTGATTTGTCAGATTACCTTTCGCTGAAAAACTCTTGTTACATATATTACAAGAATAAGGTTTACTTACAGGAGGAAAAACACTGTGTTCAATAAGTTTAGCTTTCTGGGAAAAAGTGTTTTCGCTCATACTGCATGAATAAGGTGTTTCAACAGTGTGAATCTCTAAAAAAAAACAGTCAGAAAATATGTTGCAAAATGAAGACTTCAATCCACTCTAGAATGAGATTAAAACAGAAATGCATCAGTATGAGATAAAAAGATAGAATATCAATTCAAAATCAAATTTTTACTACATCTTCTTTTATTTGATAAAAAAATTAGAAAGCTGTAATTAGATAATGGAAAATATAATTATTGAACGATTAAAATAAAGGCGGAAATTATATAATTTACTACAAAAGTTACTTATTATGAATTAAATGAGGCCTTTAATAGCTCACATGCTACAAAAAAGAGCATGCTAAATTTTTTAAGATATCAAGATACAAAACTATATTAAATAATTTCACTTTACACGAAAAAACTGCAGAAACAAGGTACAGCTTCATGTATTAGATTTAATTAAATTTTATATGCTATTAATGATTGCATTCTTAGACATACTGCAAAATTAATGTTATTTGACACTTGGAAACCAACTTATAAAAATGAATATAAATAAATAATAATGATATTTACTATCATGAACATGAATTTATCAAATTTAATTTCTTTTACGATTTATTCACAGAGACATTGCAAAAATATATTTTATTAAAAATTAAAACAAGCAAAAAATTTTTTTTTCACTTTTACTGATTTAAAAGGTTTGATATTATCTATGCAGGAATAAAAAAATTTTAATTGCTAATTTTTCTGTCAGTGCTCTATCATACATAATGTTCTACCATTCATTAACATTAATATGAGAAGGTTAAAAAAAAGTTTAATTCTATTTACATATATTAGATTGCACAAACTGTGTAACAGAAAATATTTACTCAGAGTGAACAAGAAAATCACAATTTAAATTTCTTGTGAATAAATATCAAATCATATGTGTTTTATGACAGTAAGAGGCAGCTTAATTATCTGCAATTTTAATCTATTTGTAACTGTTTAATAATGAACTGCATGAAAAATTCATTTAAATTATTATTTAAACTAAATTATTCTTTTATCCTTGATTAGTTAATCACTATGACTGCTTATATGAATAACACATATTGCTTATATGATGAACACAAGGCAATTAAATGAAACTTCTTATTTTTGTATACTTTTTAGGACAGAAGTAAAATGTTTTATAATATAGAAAATAATTATGAACTACACTTGAAAGCTTATAAACACACAAATTACAACCATTAAATGCCCATGTATGAAAATATTTTTCTGTTAGAACATTATTGCAACTGTGACACACATTGCAATTTGCTGCTAGTGTCAGGGCTCGAAAAACCGCCCGTACTCGGCGGTCGAAAATACCCCGCGGACAACAAATTCCTCGAATCCAACGTCCGCGCGGACGGCCATTTTCCCGTTAATGTTCGTGATATATTTTCAATTTTTGTTATCTTACAAGAGTCTAGGTCCTCACTTCTAAAATGACCCTCTAATCTCGAAATACAGCAACATACTGCGCATGGTGGAATTGATGTTTTCTCTGTCTGGGAGTACTGCAGCGATTGAAAGCTGCTTTTCAGCAATCAACATAAAAAAAAAAATTTAAAAAAACACATTACATACTGGTCTTAAACAGCAAGCGTCAACCGCAATTATGAACATCTACCTAAATGGAAAACCTCTTTCAGATTTCTGTGCAGAAGCCTCTGTAAATCATTGGCTTGATTGTGGAACTGTCAAACGTCGTATTTGATTCATTTAAAAAATACAGTACCATCGGATAAATTGGCCTTTGTTATTTAAATTATTTCATTAAAGAAATAAATTATTTCATTAAAGAAATACTAGGTTTTACTATTAGTAACCTAGTATTTCTTTTATTACTGTATAATGTAATCCTAGTATTTGTAATCCTAGAAACTACTAATCCATTGTGCAATTTATATAAATGTTAGTAATAAATAAGAGAAAATTGTATTTTTATTTATTTAGAAGCGACGGGTTAGTTTCAAAGGAGGACGGGTACATTGTTGGACAAGCCGTCCTCGGGGACGGGTAAAATTTCTGAGTTTTTTCGAGCCCTGGTTAGTGTCACAACATAGAGTGTTATTACCTACATAGACTGATTTTGCCTTTAATCATTTGCCAGAGAGAAATTACACACACCGCAGTTGAATAATTTATTGTTTACATAAATCGTACAGAAAACTTAGTATTTTTTAAAAAAGATTTATGCATGCACAACGTGAATTTTATTTACTGCCAGTACGAAGATATTTTATCATTGACAACGATTTTTTTTTGCGTATAAAGAAGATAATCCATGAATTACATTGGCATGGAAATAGCCTTATTAAAGTGATGTTTATAGTGTTTCCATAACGATGAGGGTAATATCACTTTACCTTTAAAAGGTTTATGGCTTCTAAATTTGATCCAAGTGGGGGCAAATCAAAAAAAATTTCATTACACTTTTCTTCACACAAATAAGGTTGATTAAACTGCTCTTCGGTATTAGTAAGATAGTATATTTTAATAAAATTTATCTCAGGAGAAACTTTTTTCACAAATAAGTAAAAGCGGTGACAGTTGCTTACGTTATCGGTTGCCTACTTCTACTCACTTGATCTCCAGGATCTTGGAACAATTTTTGACCAGTAGAGGACGCTACTTATGGATGGGTGATCGTGTAAAGCCAGGGACTACAATAGGGGATAAGGACAGTTTACTTTCCCCTCCGGAAGTCTGAAAAGCAGCTGGCCATTTGTAAACCGGTTTGTTGCTCAAAAAGTGGCGCTGATTACTTCTCAGGGATCAGAAAAAGTGCATTCCATNAGAGAGAAAAATATCAGATGAGCAACATCTCGTGAACGAACTTGTTTATATCAAAAAAGAAACTACTGTTCACTTCAGTTCAAAGTTCGGAAGTAGAAATTGAAGTAGCAGTCTCAATCTCACAACTGCGTCAGGGCGCAGTTGTCGTTTTTGAGTTTGACTCAGCAGTGAGGATACTGCATGACCTCTGAGAATCAATACATTTCTGAAAGCTCTTATGCATGGTACAATTATGTTTAGATTTGAACCCAAATTATAATAACAAAACTGCATAGACTATTAGGCTTGTTCACACATCGCCTCGTAGTCATAACATTAGCGGAGGGATACACCGGAAATTTTTTAAATTTCTTCCGGTTTAAGGACGCTTGTTATTGTTTACATTAGGCCACCCATCCGTATATATCAGCTAATCCTCTTTTTAGGAGAGTATTCCTACTGTATTGTAGAAAATCACGTATGCCAGTGGTTCCTGAACTTTTTTTTGTCTCGTAGACCTTTTGCTATGTTTTTCGGTTTATGGTAGACCACCTGTTTACCTGATATTGATTTTTTGTAAATTCATTAACTGCAAATGTATTTTTGACAGCTGTTATAGTTTGCGAAGACGCCACAGAGAAAATGATTGGGCATTCTAGAATGCAATGGTTTTAACTGAGGTAAAAGTAGCAGATTATTAATTTTTTAATAGTTTAAACATGGCAAGCTTGCTCAAAGACAATTATTTTTCATCTCTTTCTCTTGTTGCAGAAAAATTCTGTCACGGATGAATAACTAAGCAAACGTTGTAGTACAAGCATATTCTGATCTAATTACAGTATTTATTATCTTTAATACAGATGACACTTCATAGTATCTACTGACTTTATTAGATACATGATCGTTAAATAAGTTTAATGATCATGTATGATATCATTAAATAAGATAAATAAATGTTTAGATTAAGCGACCAAGATTGTTAAGTACACTGAATGTTTCTACAAGATCATCATTATAAATATCTTAAGAAGTTGAAGCGCTTTATTTTTCTAGCTGCAGACCAAACAATTTGGCGAGTGGTGATGTAAATAACCGTGAGGAAGTTACTTGGAAATTTTTTTCCCGTTTTCATATTGCTGCAAACAGAATTACTACCACTGATATTTTCTTGTGTTTTCCGGCATAAAGTTACATTGGCTAAAATTGATATTTCATGTCATATTTAATTTATTGTTTTCTTTCATAAATAATATGCAATGTTAGTTAATATCCTTTTGCTACCTCGGTCTGTCTATGTTATGTTTACGAGGCGATGTGTGAACAGGCTTAATATTCTAGGAAGTTTTGTTAATGTAATTATGATTAAATTTACGCGTAATTTTATCATTCATAGGAATTTTTTGTAATTTATGAATCCTAATTGGTTGTAAGTGTAAAAAACATTGAAGAAAATTAATGTCACAACATTAATAAATAAGTGAAGGAATTGCCATGTTTTGAGAGTTATCCCTCTTTGGGCTGAGGTTGATTGACCGTGTAAAGTTAAGCGTAGATGGTGCTAGAGGTTAAAATTCATTAGGATTATCGGGTTACAACTTCCGACTGATTTTTATGCATTCACTTGAAAAAGCGCTGCATTCAATATTATTATACTCACAGTGTTTTCAATAAAACGCGCTTTGTGCAATATGACTTTCATAGAAAAAAACAACAAATGAATTAGGTAGATTCCAGAAGCTTGCTATGATGCTACCCAAACAATGCTATTATACCCAAATTAGGGATAACACTTAAAACTAGATTAACCTTACACTTTTTTTAATGCTGTGATATAAATTTTGTTAAATTTGTTTTAGACACACGACTTGTTAGGAAAACAAAGATTTTTAAGAACATTATACAGAAAATACAGCAATAAGCTTGTAACTTGTATCGATTACTTTGGTAGTTATTAGTAATTATTGGCGATTGAAATGGGTTACAGGTAGCTTAGGTAGCATCTTAACTTATGGTAGCACGCTTTCACCATTAGCCTGTGGAGAGTCATAGAAGAATGGAGTACATTAGTTTCTGCTTCGATTTTCAAATAGATTAAAACTAAATTAAACATAGTTCTAAAAGAAAGCGTCATGGAAATTTTTAAAAATATTTTTAACAATTAAATGAGAAAAATATTAATAAAGGTGAAAATAAAGCAGTACATTTCGATACAATTGAAAAGAGGAGGAGAGGGAAGGAGGAAGGCCAAAGGCAAGGTACCTGCCTCCTCCCCAGATTGTGTGCGTTGCGATTGCCTATTGCAAAAATTTCGTAAACCTACCTTTAATATTTATAAAAATATGGCCATATTAATAAAAAAGAATATTTCTCTTTTTGTCTTTGATAATAACTACAATTTCAATATATTGAAAATTCACTAAGTGTCAGAAATAGTATTTGTATTTTTTAAGAGAAAAATCTAAAGGATAAGGGGTTTCCAACAAATTTCCTTTCGCATAAGACAAATTAAATAACAAATAAAACCTTACAATAGTAGTCCGTACACTGAAGTGTGATGTTATAAAAGAAAGAAAACATACTTTTATGGAGGATGATAAAATGAAATACGCTGCTGTCACATTTACACTTAATGTAAAGTGACAAATTAATTTCTAATTTTACTTAAGCCTTTAATTTTTCTTTAAACATTATTCCTCTTTTTTTTTATTTTAGCAATCTTTTTTAACTTTCTTGGTTAGCTTTCTCATGGTCAGCGCGGTCATCGCACTTCCTGTGGGGAAAGTCAACCAACCCCTCTATTCACGCCTTTCTTTTTCTTCCTTTAATTTTAGGGGGGCTAACTAACCAATCTCTTTACTTTAAATTTCAAACTCTCCGCCTCTTTAAATTTAATTGGTCGTAATTTTTCTGGTCCTATACCAGTTAAGGAATTTTTTAAGTCACTTTTTGGGAGAGATTTTTTCTCTCTGGATTCTCTTTTTCTCGAGCCTTCGGGCAGGTTAGCTTTTCTCTGCGATGCGGACTTCGGTCCGTATCGAGGGATTTCTTTTTACATTTTTTTTTCTTAATGTAATCAATTTCTGTAAAATTTAAAATCAACATGTTATACCTTTAATTTTCTTTAGCATTAAAAGCCCTCTCAAATTTAAGTTTTCTTTTCATATTTACTTTAACGGTTAAATTAATCGTTCTTTTATATTTAACTTCATGCCTGACGCCTTTGGTTTCTTTAAATTCTCTTGTCACCCATTTCCTTTTAAAAGATATATTTTTGTGAGACAAAATGTGTTGGAATCATATTGCTTGTTTGTTACGCAATAATCAAAATAAGTAGTTTTACAAAAATAAATGTTTAGTTGAACAGAAAGTTTTGTGTGATGTTTAGTTTTACCTTTATAGCTACTATTTATCGCCTTTTTTCCTTCTGTATCTGGTGAGTACTTTTTCTTATTGTTATGGGCATGCATAAGTGTGAAGTTATTAGCTTTTCTTATTAGAAACATCAGCTTACTGTATTAAATCATACATATTGTTTGGATATAGCATGACTTTACCTTATTTATCTTTAATATTTAATTTATTTTAGTTTCGCCCTTTTTCCAAATTTGGTGATACCAAATCATCCAATTTTGTTCAAACCTCACACTTTGTGACCCTTTGAACCTATTGGGTTATTGTTATCCCACATTAGCATTGTACTACCACTTTCCTTAACGATCACATCCCCTTTAATTTAATTTAATTACCCTTTTATATATTTCGGCCTTAATTTTATTTATCACGACGTTTCAATCTTTTAACTATTTTTTTATCATGACTATATCCAATTACTAGTACATATACCAATGATTTCAACCCATCTATCAATTTTATTACATAAATAACTTTACTATTATTACGCACCAAAATAATATTTTTATTAAACTCTTACAGCAGCCATTTTAAAAAATTTTTATCTAACAGTACGAAATAAAATTTGCGGAAAATCCATACTCATTCAGAGCTTTCTTTGAAAAATAACGAAAACTGATTAGAAAATTGCTAAACACTTTCTCATTGCTTAAGATATTCGAATCGGACTTTTTCATTAGCAACTAAATACAATTCACTACATTTTATTTAAAAAAAAAAATTCTCGCATGCGAAGTATGAAAAAGCTACTTTAAATGCTCAGATTTTGAGCAATTTCTTAACGAATTTCATTTTAAAACAGTAATTTTAATTAGTTCTGTAATTAGTAACAGTAATTAGTTCTGAAATTTTTTTACGTTACAGCCAAAAATTTGCAAAAAAAAAAATTATAATTTTTTTTTTTATTTCTAGAATTATTTAAGCCAGGTTTTCAAAATTTATTGCTATATTTTCCTGTCACAGCGTGTTCAAAAATATTTGTTTTCGTTCATAATTTAATGTTGGTCCCTTTCACCTGTGAAAGATTTAAAACTTATTGATAAGTATGAAAAATTGCATGACCTAAACACCTTTAAATTACAAACTAATCGCCTCCGCATTTTTTGAGAAATTTAAAAAAATGTCAAAAGCTGAAAGTGTCTCTTCCATTAATATAGGGTATTGTATATTATACAAAATGATTTTGAAAAGAGATCAAACTGGCTGCTAAAGGCAGATATTACTCACTACTTTTGATAATTATTTTAAGAACTAGGGTAAATTAAGAACGATGGATAATTATTTTCCAATCAAATAGATTGAAAAATAATTATTCAGAAAAAGGGAAAATCAAAAGAAAGTTTCTAGCACATACCTAGTAAATTTAAAAAGATTAATAATATCAGTTAGTAACTTTTGTCCCAGATTACTACATACATTAAAAGTCCACCATTAGATGCCACAATTATCTAAACTGGTTCAAAATACAAAACTCAACCAAGTACATAAGTTAGGTTATTCAACCATATGAATTCAACTTTCCTACCTTGCATGATTTACAATAGTAAATCAAACCATAATAAACACGACGGTGAACACCCAGAATGCTATTTTGTGAAAATATCACATACAAAAAAATAAATAAATAATTACATTATATAGACTTATAAATTCAACTTTGCATAATGCTAAGTTATCTTATTTGACAAAAAGTACAACATCATATCACACCATAATGAACATGACTATGAGTAACTAGAAAGCTATCTATTTTAGGAAAATATTTTATTACAAATATTTTAAGGAATGTCTTTTACAAATTTTTAAAATTTCATTAAAAGAACTTGCAAACGCAATATTAAAGTAAGTGGATTTTATTTTAATTGTATATAAACAAAAAATAGAAATATATTTTGCACAAGATATGAAAATTGTAGTAAAAATAATACATTTTAAACATCTTTGCTTTCTACACTTAATTTCTTTATCCATTATGTCATAATACACAGTTTAAGTACAAAATTAAATCAAGTGCATTTTATTTTAACCGTTTATAGAAAAATGGAAATATTTATAACTAGACATTGAAAATGTGCTGAACTATTATAAGAAAACAACAAATTAAAATCACACATTTATACATCATGACCCTATGACAAAAAAGTTATTTAAGGAATGAACTGGGCAGCTATTTCAAAATGACACATTAAAATCATTTGCATTTATACGTTTTAAAAACCAAATTCACTTAAAAAGAAAGTTAACTTTCTTTTCTCTAAGTATTACAAAAAATATTTTGTATTAAAAATAAATTTTTTTTTTTTTTTAACTTTACAACATGTGCTAGAAAGAGTTCATAAAATAAAAGACAATACAGATAATTTTAGTTAAAAGCTGCTATAATTTTTTTTTTTTTTTTACGTAGGAAAAAAACCACAACAACTCAGGATTCCAATACCAATAGAATAAATAACAATTTATATTCTGGTCAAGCATAACTCGTTGTAAATAAAGTAATCTAATCCAGCAATCAAGGTTACAGCATCAACTGAGATATGTTTGAATGGCCGAATATTTCAATTTCAATCAAGGCCGGATGAACCATCAAGCATACTATTTTCAATTCACAATTTTTCAGTACAGAAGCTTATTTTATAGGTATTATTTATAAATAAATACACAAAAAATGTGATGAAAACTGTATCATACAAAATTTAAAAATATTTGACCTGAAAATAATTATTTAATTTCATTAGACTGTTTTTAATCATATGACACTTCTGAGAAAAACTTTTGCCTTCAACGTAAAAAACAGTTTTATCCCAGTTATTTTACTTTATAGTGAAAACATGTTGCAAGAATACATAACTCACATGAGTACGAGTCAGATCATCAGCATGAGTAAGAATATGATAAGTTAGAGAAAAACTTTTTTGAAGTGCACGACATTTGAATAAGGTATCTCAACAGATCAATACAACTATGGTTAGTAAGATTAGCTGATGTGAGAAACATTTATTACATATACTAAAAGAATAGAATATTGTTTTAAAACCAATATTAATGCAAACATTCGGATTACTATTAATTAAAAAACTATTTTATCACATATACTTCCAAAATAGGGTGCGTCACTAGTATCAACAATACTGTGTATAGTGAGATGATCTTTCTGAGAAAATCTTTCAGTCCATTATGTCACAACAAAAATGTATCTCACCAGTGAAAACACATACAGTAAAGTCAGCTTTTAAAAACTCTTTTTTCTTAAAAGAATGAGGTTTTATACTACATATACTACATGAATAAGGTTTCTCACCACTATTAAGACGACTATGTTGAGTTAAACTACCTCTTAATGAAAATCTCTTGTTACATATACTATAAGAACAAGGTTTCTCACCAGTATGAGCACGATTGACAGACAAAATTTTAGTGAAAAACTCTTATAACATAAAATACAAGAATAAGGCTTCTTACCAGTATGAAGATTAGTGTTGTTTCATATTACTTTTTAGTGAAAAACTCTTATTACATATACTACAAGAATAAGGCGTTACACCAGTATGAATACGACTGTGTGACTACATTTTGGTGAAAAAATTTTATCACATATATATATACCTTAAGAATAAGGTTACTCCTCAGTATGAATATGACAGTGTTTATTCAGAAACACTCTTTCTGAAAAACTCTGATTACATATACTACAAGAATAAGGCTTTTGACCGGTATGAACATGACTGTGTCTGGTCAGACTACTTTTTTGTGAAAAAATTTTATTACATACACTACAAGAATAAGGCTTCTCACCAGTATGAACACGGCTGTGTTTATTCAGAGTCTCCCTATGTGAAAAACTCTTATTACATATACTACAAGAATAAGGTTTCTCACCAGTATGAACACGACTGTGTTTTTTCAGATTACTTTTTAGTGAAAAACTTTTATTGCATATAGAACAAGAATGAGGTTTCTCACCAGTATGAATACGGATGTGTTTAGACAGATGATCACTTTGTGAAAAACTTTTATTACATATACTGCAAGAGTAAAATTTCTCACCAGTATGAATTCTACAGTGTTTAGTCAGATTACTTCTTCTTGAAAAACTTTTGTTACATACATTACAAGAAGGTTTACTTATAGGATGAAAAGCAGTGTGTATAATAAGTTTACTTTTTGGAGAAAAACTTTTTCCGCTCATAATGCATGAATAAGTTTTCTCAACAGCGTGAAGATAAATGTGAATAATTTGATGGAAAATTTTGATTGGTGCATGAAATAAGTTTTGTGATAGTATGAACCATAATAACTATGGGTTACTCTTGTATGCTTTAAAAAAGTATATCACACACTATTAGAGTACAGTGATAAGTTATTTTGCAGTAAAACACTTATGTATGTGTTTTTAAAACAAAGATCGTAAAGGTGGATTTAAACTGTATGTAGGTATAATCTCTAGAATAACAGTTATAAAATATGCTGCAAAAAGATGCAGAAGACTTTAATCCACTATGCAATGAGATTAAAACAGAAATGCATTAGTATGAGAAAAAAGTAAAACTTCTACTCAAAATAAATTTTTGCTGCATTTTTATTTGATACAATAATTAGAAAGCTCTTATTAGATAATGGTAAACATAATTATTCAATGATTATAATGAAGGCTGGAATTCAAATTAATTCACTCCAAAAGTTACTTACTCTGAAATAAATGAGGGCTTTAAAAACATATGATACAAAAAAGAGCCGGCTGTATCAAGTCACCTACTTGGACTAAATTTTTTAAGCAAGCAAAATATAATACTGTAGAAATATGGTCCCTTTAAAACAGGCATATGATTTATTAATTGATGCATCTGTGAAAGCATTAATTTAAATTATATTGAGAAGTAAACATTTTTTATTTTTCACGAACTACTTCAACAATATTTTTCTTTTGTCTTGTCTTAATATTTCTTTTTTGTCTATAATATTTCACTCAGAAAAAAGGGAATTATATATGAATAAGATTTACATGGAAATAACCTTTTTAAAGTGCTTTCTATATTTTCTTCTTATTCTATACTATAATGGCAATTCATTTTACATTGGTAAGGTTTTTGGATACTCCAGCTTATTAGTTTGATCCAAGTAGGGGCAAATCAAAAACAATTTTATAAAGATTACCTTTATAAAGATTATCTTTACACAAATAAATTTAATAAAAGTCTTCTTAGGTATAAGTAAAAAAGTATGTTTTAATATAGTTTATCTCAGTAAGGAATTTTTCCAGAAATAAGTAAACAATATCGGTGTGAATTGTTTACGTTATCGGTTCCCTATTTCTACTCACCTGATCTCCAGGATCTTGGGAGCGTTTTTTTGACCTGTAGAGGACGCTACTATTGAATATTATATCCTTTTGCTTTGTTAAAAATAAATATTTACCTGTTTCTAATTGTATTTTCTTTTGATTCACCAATCTAACTAGCTCTTTTATCCTGGCTCATTTTTTAGTCACTTTAAGTTCAAACGGTTTGATTTCATTTGCAATAAGTTTCATTTGCATTGTTTGATTTCATTTGCTTTGACTTTTCAACAACAGAAACTTACTATTTGCAAATAGTAAGTTTCTGTTGTTGAAAAGTCAATGGGAGTATGTTTACAAAATTTAAACTCCGATTCTTTTAATGGGATTTAATTTAAGTATAAAAATATAAAACAGTATTTCAAAATTTCTTGCAAGTTTATTTTGTACAATCTCAACTTTAAGAAAATAGGAAAGACGGTAACAAAAACTTAAGTTCTGATACTATTCAAAATCGTTTAGAAATTCCCCCAGAGAGACTGAAATGGAAAAGTTGTCAGAAACCAAGATCAATTTTAGATGAACTTAAATCTAATGTGAATATAAATTTATTAATTCTGCCCCCTTTGCTTGTTTTCTTTTTCTTTTTTATAACTATTAAATCACCAATAATGAGTATAAACTTTTTCTATCTAGTAATGAAATTTCAAATAATTATGTTTATTTCAAATAATAATGATAATTAAATTTTTAACGAGTCTGTATTAGAAAAAAGTTTCTAAGAAACAATGCAAACTGATAGACAAACAGCTTCTTTTCTTTATGAATTATCCTAGTTCAAGTTAGAGTCGTTTGTAGCCAGGGCCGTTTTATCCATTAGGCACTGTAGGCAACTGCCTAGGGGCCCCGCCACGTTCAGGGGCCCTGTGCTACAGAGAAAAAAATTAACTATGTTTCTTAAACAGTAATTATAAGCAGTGATGTATTGGAAAAGGTTAACTTTCAGGATGTCTTGAACGATTTTGTAACAAAAAAGGTTAGAAGAGTTAATATTTAAGCTTATTGTATGATTTTTTTTAAATGCATATATTAATTACTTATATTCTTTTCGTTTGATTCAATATTTTTATTGAATAGTGTGATAATATACCTATGTAGTAAAAAACAGCGTAATTATGAATAAAGTGCTGTGTTAGCGAAAAAATATATTAGGAAGTTAGAAGACGGTAGGGGTGGCGAGACGAGCATTGCCTAGGGGCCGCGACATGCATAAGCCGGCCCTGTTTGTAGCAATGAGCTGCCAAATCTTGTAGCTCTTCCGCATTGCTGAAAGTTTTCCCCCGAAATGTCTGTGAAATCGGCTTTTCTTCTTCTGGTCTGGTCTTGTTGGTTGGTCGGGGTCCCTGAGGCCAAGAAGGCCCTTTACCCCTTCATCATGAAGTAAGGATCGTTGAGGTGAAGCCTTGAGGTGATAAGCATAATGCTAAAGTTGAAGTGGGGAGAAAATGGCACATTGCCATGGTGCGGAAAAGCTGTGGTGACTTGAAAAAGAGTTGAGAGTAATCAACAAAAATGAAGTCTACTGTGCTTTGCTTGAGGAAAACATCTCGCTGTTTTTAAGATTACTTATCTCGAATTCATAATTAACATCTCCAGTTTCGCTAGTAACTAAACTGGGCGAGGACCCGAAGGACAATAGATGTTAGTAAAGCCAGACTCCTACTTGCGAATCATGCTTCGACCAATCGGTTTCAAACACAAATGACCGCCATTAACATGTCGGACAGGCCTAAATGCTACTAACGAAAGGTCAATGCAATTATCACGTTCACGTACGTCGAAGCTAAACAAGTTACTACTGCCGCTTACACGGTGTGTTCACGTTCATCTGGATGTTCTGTCTTTCAAACATTGATCAGTGATCGACGTCGCAGAAGAACTGCAGTCATCAGGCTTGAATCAAACGCTCACGAAGAGAGGAAGAGATCATCGCTGAGGCAGGGAGGTGGTGACGACTGGCTGGCCGGAACTCATCGTTGGTCATCCCGCTGCAAGACGACCGAGCCCCCGGCTCGGAGAACTCGCAAGGCACGTCCGTCTCCTAAGGCGTCTTCATCAGAATGGGGATTCTTCTTCAGGGGCTCTACTATAATATATAACTAAGATGACGTCACTTTTCTTACCTGTTCAGTGGTTATCCATCAATGATTAATTGGTTACAGATAGCAACCAATAGGTATACGTTTTTATTTTTCCATGAATATGAATTGTCCGATAGGAAGGGCGCAAAAAACGATTGATTTATTCTATTCCGTGATATAGTTCAGCCTCTCACTAGGGCATCTCTACATCTATAACTATTTATTTATTTAAATTACCTTAGCATACGGGCTAACGATATCATGCTTGAAAATAAATGTTTTCTATTCTATTTGAATCAGTGAACAAAACAAAACTAAACGATTCACGAGAAATAGTTTATTTAAAATAAAATAATTTAATCGAAATCGTTAAATTAAAAGAACATTTCTAATCAAGGTTAAACTATATTACTAAATAATTGGAGACCGATTAAGTATCCTAAACATCTTGGTTTATCAAACAATATGAATCAGACAAATTATTTCATTAAACCAAATGCAAGCATTTCTGATCGACGTGAAAACATTCAGAAGATAACCCGCAAAAAGTTAAAATGGCATAAATTCCCATATGGCTCATTTCAGAAGTATATAAGACAAGTTAAAAAAACTCTAATTCCTGAATCCAAGCTCAGTTCTATGACGTTGAAAGAACTCGATGACATTTTGACTCACATTTTGGATAGAATTGAGACAGAGCTCCAGAGATTGATTCGCTTAAGTAACAGCAAGACCATCACTACCAGACAGTTGGAATTCGCTGTGCGATTATGTTTGCCGGAACACCTTGGACGTTTGGCTGCCAATTATGGAAACAGTGCCAGTCGGGTTTTAAATAATGGCTTGGTTCCTTTTGGTGATGTACGCAGTGATACAGGAGCTAATGGAACTGAAATCGCAAGTATCAAAGAAGAGCCAATTAATTAAGCTGCATTGTTACTGGGATCCTAAAAATCCTGATAAAATATTTCGATTATGATGATATAATTAAACTAATATGCGCTCTCTGTTTTATTTGCAATTATTTGATTCTTGTAAAATAAACAAAGATATTTAAAAATAAAATTCAGAATTATTACTTTAATACATTAAAATATGATATGACACTAGATTTTAATGTCTTTGGCGCATTTCATTGTGATATAATGTTTTTGGCAACTCTTTAGACTTATAGAGAAATATGTTTGTAGCACAGAAACGAGTATCGGGTTAGGTCCTGTAAAAAATTAAAAATTACGTCTTTGTGCCCGATTTCGTAATGCCGATTAAAAGTTAGCAATAAATAATTTGCATATTTGAGGTCACCCTCAAGAACCATTGAGATTGACACTTAGTACGTGAAAATCCGATCATTAGATAGTTATTCAGGGAGATATCTCTTTTTTTGCCGACTGTCCTACGTGAGCACAAACTACAAACATGCAATAAATATATTAGTGTACATTGCTAATTGCGTGTATGCTTCTACGTGCATTGTATTCACATGCATACATAAATACATTGTATGTGTCTACAATATACATGTATGAATTTCTTGAGTGTATATATATAACTATGTTTCTTAAACAGTA